GCCAGGGGAGCCCTCTTTTATGGGATTCCCCTGGCTTGTAATCACACAATTCCATTGGCTGGTAAGACCCCGTTGCTAGTTAGCCAACCAGCAACGGGCATGAAACTGTATGCAGATGGAGAAGGGCAATCACCCTTAATGGGTGATCAGGATGCGCATAGGGGATTAAGGGGGGGAATACAAAAGAACACAACACTTTGCTGCCCTGCACTTATCACTGTTACATAACTTTTATATAAGAGTGATCTTTAGTTAATTTTATACTATTAAAAAAGTGACTCAGTGGAAAAGTTTTAGATATAAATACCCTTGGAAATAAATTATCTTGGGAGCGGGAATGATCAAAATAACAGTATGTCAACAGTATGATCAAAATAACAGTATGTCAAGTGTGGCCTTCAGAGGATAAAGATATCTTTATCCTCTGAAGGCCACACTTGACATAGTGTAGTGCTGATTATATGATCAATGTGTAGAATTTGTTTAAGCAAATAAGAAGTCACATGGAGAGGAGAACTGGAGTAAACTAGTGGCTCTTTGGGAGCTGGGTGTAAAACCTTTCTATCTCAAAGTAATTGGAAAAATGATGAAACATTTTTTCAAAAGCCCAATCTCAGGCTCTAGGTTTTAAGGATACTAGATATGTTTTTGAGACATAAGAACTCAGCTAGCTCAGACAAAAAAAATCCAATGTCTAAAAGACATTGTGAAAGGGGAACACGTTCTATCTAATAAGATTGAGATTGAGTTGAAACTGAATTTACAAGTGATATGCTATAAAAATGATATGGAAAAAGAAGCTATACTGGCATACAAAAGAAAATGGCTAATGTCTTAACTATTAAAAGTGGCATACAAAAAATAATCTAAAAATAACCTGGATAATTTTTATATATTGGATTTACAAACAAAATGTTAAAATTTTGAAGAATATCATGAGAAAGATTTAAAAAGTAAAAAGAAATTAAATTCTATGGCATTATTTGAATCAACCAAGGATTAAGATTGTTAGAAGTAAAATGAAAAAAATATAAGGTTGGTATATTTGAACAAGATTAAAATAGATAGGTTGTTATTTCTGGTAAGAGTTAATGGACTTTTGCTAACACCATGACAATACTTCATAAAATAAATAAAAAATGGGACATGAAGAGAAGAGATTATTTGTTGTATTTTAAGAAAAGGTGATAAGTTACTAAATTTATACTTCTTGGAATGAAGGGGGGAAGCTACTTCTTTATATTTTTCTTTTGTTTTACTCTATTCATAATTTCTTTTCTATCTCTTTCTAATTTTTCCTCCTTTTTATTTTCTGTATTTCCCCTCTTTTTATTCTATCTTTTTTTTTAGCTTGCATTAGTTTTTACTTTTGTACTTGCTTTTATACTCTTTAATAAAATTATTACATTTTTAAAAAAATGAAAATTCAATTTAGTTAGAGACTTGATGGAATCAAATTTTAAAGTATAATATTTGCACATCACACATTAATGCAGTCACCCACACACATTCTTATATATAAACACAAATACATACATGATGTGTATGTGTGTAAATATGTATGGAAAAATGCAAACAACTAATACGTTAGATTTTATTTTTGTGTGCTTTTGAGTCAGTTTTTGACTTCTGGAGACTGCCTGGACTAGAACTTGCAGGGTTTTTTTTTTGCCAAGATTTCAGAAATAGTTTGCCATTGCCTCCTTCCTAGGGCTGAAAGAGGAAGACTGGACTAAAGTACCCTTTGTGTCTTTGTGTCTAAGGCAGGACTAGAACTCATGGTTGTCTTGTTTCATGCCTCATGCTTTAACCCAGTGATGGCGAACCTTTTAGAGACCGAGTGCTCAAAAACTGGCCCCACCCCCACTCCACCCCCTGCCCCACCCCCGCTCCGCCCTACCCTGCCTGCCCACAGGGCCACTCACCGCCTCCAGGGCCCACCACAGATCGCCCAGGCAGCCCAGCAGCGCATGGCAGCCACGCCCTCTCCCTGTGCCCTACAGCATCAACTGTGCATGTTGGGGCGTGAGGGCAGAGTCTTGTCTACACTGCCTGGCTGCCATGTCCTTGGCTGCGCTGCTCTGTGTGGGCCACGCTTGGGGGCGATTCTCCTCCAGGGAGGCTGCTGGTGAGGAGGGGGTCACGGGCGGAGGCAAGGCTGGGGCAACGGCACATGTGCTCACAGAGAGGGCTCCAAGTGCCGCCTCTGGCGCCCGTGCTATAGGTTCACCACCACTGCTTTAACCAATACACTAAATTGGCTCATTGTAGAACATGGATTAATAGAATATCACAAGATCCCTTTTCTTACAATATCTCTAAGCTATGAGCTATGAGTGTGCCCAGCATCTTACAGGCAGCAAAGGGCAATCAGTTGTAATAAGTAATAACTATATTCTGACAGCCATCCTGACCAAGGTGGAAATTCCCTGAAAACTAAATGGGAAAAAAAGGATCCATTTGGATCTTCATTCTGTGAACACTCATCTTATGACTAAACAAACATTAGAGATATACCAAGATCTCTGGGTGCCTTTTTACAAGAAAACGGGCCCTATGAAATCTTGCCTTGAAATATATCATTCGTGAGATAGAGGGTGTGTATGTAACAATATTAAAGATTTAGAAATGATATGGAAAGAGCAATTACAATTACAGGATTGAGATCAGCATCTTGTTTAGAATCTTTAGCTACAGCACATCCCATCTTAAGACAGAATTAAGAAGCTGGAGAACCAGAATTTTTCTAACCTTCAGGAATAAAATGACCAGTTACTACTGCACAAGTTTTAGAAACTTTAAGGCAAGTTATTTAGCAGGTTTCTGTCTAACTTTAAATCATGTGAGTTCTCTAAAAACAACAGATTCATATTTCTCAGAGGATCAGAGGGCAGCCAGAGTCACCAAGGCGCAGCTGCAATCTTTCATAAAGCCTTCCACAAAATCTTTAGATATTGGGGGAAACCAAATTATAGTAACAGCTGCAAAATCTAGTTAAATATTTGCTTTAGAAACTGGAAGTAGCTATATGATAGCATCAGCATAAATTATCAGAGTTTTAAGAGGAATATTTTAAACACTTATACAACTTTCCACCCCACCTCTAAAAGTCAAACAAGATATCTACTTTAATATACAAATTGAACCTCCTTCTATTGGGATGGATATAAATAGAGAGAAGGAGTGAAACAGCAACTAATTAAAGGATTGCTCTGCAACAAGCTGCAATGGATTCTAAGGTAAGTTGGTAATCAGTGCAAGGGGGTCATATAAAATCCATTACCATATGGTTTTAAAATAGTCTTAACCAAGTTTTTTCCTTGATGTTTTCTCAATCTGGAAACACTGCGCTGTTTAGGAGTGAATGAAACACAGACAATTTCATGGACATTGGTGTGGGATTTTGAAGTATTATTTTTAAATCTTATTTTAAAATATTAAAAGATGCAATGAGAAGTGATCCTTTCAGGAGAAAACTCTTGAAAATTTCATGTGGGAAGGTGAACTCAAATTCAAACGATTCTTCCAGCATGGAGGGATTATAAGAATCTGTTCACTTTGTGGAGAAAATCAATGCATATTTTATATTAAGATATCACATGCTGGAATTAAATATAAAAATATCTTCCTCTTTTTTATGGAATTACTCAAAGACTAAAGGTTTGGATAAATTTAATACTACAAGGTGGCAATTATTTCAATTACATCTTTTGAAAGTATGAAATACAGTACTTTTCTGATCTTTGTTTCAGATGTGTCTTTTACTCTCTGCTCTCCTCCTTTCCCTGATCATCAATGAGTCGCTGACCAATGATGTGAATATTAACTTTAAAGTCCTAAAGAGAACGATGGAGAAAAGCCTTCAGCAACCCAAACCAGGTACCAAGATAAGCACAACCATGGAAAGATCCTTCTGCTCTCTCTTTTAACATCTGAGCTAGTGATGAGTTAAAAACTTGAGCAAGAGAGTCTATCACCTCAAAGGCCATCTGTTCCATCATTGAAAAACCATTAGAACTTTTTTCTGATATCAAATGAAATCTACTTCCAAATAATATAAAACCTGTTGTATCTCAACTTTTCTCATCTTCTCTAGTTTAAACATCTGCAGTGCTTCCTCTCTTTACCTACAGATTTTTCCTTCCCAGGCTACTTAGCATATTGGTTACTGTCCTCTAGGCAGAATCCAACTTTTCAAATATTTTCCTAAACTGTGGTATCCAGACATGGGCAAAATAATTCTATCTACCTATGTTTCAATCTTTAAAACAAAAATGGAGTTGGAGCTGCTCACTTGATTTTGTCTGGGAAGAGAAATACATGCTACAGTTACTGGAGAGGATTAATTTAATTTAATTTTTAGATTTGTAAGGCCACTCGATTCAAAATGAATCTAGACAGCATTGTTACTCTTCATTTTAAGAATGAAGGATTTCACTCTGGCAAATATTATTTATGTATGTATGTATTTATTAGATTTTTATTCCACATTTATTACTTTATAAGTAATAAGCCAATGAATATAACATAATATTTTTTCTCTTTTTCCCCACAACAATCCTTTGAAGTGGGTTGGGCTGAGACAGAATGACCAGTCCAAAGTTAGCCAATTGAGTTCCATGCCTACAGCAGAACTAGAACTCCCAGACTCCTAATTTCTAGGTCAGCACCTTTAACCACTACACTAATCTATAGTAGGTATTCACAAGTATGAAAAGCCTGAGGAGTCTCAGTTTTCTCAGAAAACATTAATCTCATTGTAATTTTTTATTTTCCTGCTACAGTTCAGCAGCACAGACCAGGGGGAAAATATTCCACGGACCAGATTCATTACAGTTTATGTAGGTTATTCATCAGGGTTACAAAGCATTGAAAGCATTATACAATGCAAAAACAATTGTTTTGCACAACTCACATGCTTTAATCTACCATCATTCAGATGAATTTCAAGTTCCTCTGTTCAACTGGGATAATTTTAGAGTGTGCACAGAATGTATGGAAATATGTGCTTTGCCTGGAATTTTTCAAAGGACTTATATTGAAAAGATAAATTATATGCCCCCCACACACATTTCTTCATGAAATATCAGCTGATTTTCTTTGTTTCTATTTCATTTCCCAGGTAATGCAAATAGTAGGAGTGCAGCAACGAAAGAGAGAGCAGATGAACAGCCTTCCAATAGAAGCCTTGATGTTTTTTATGGAACAACTATGAGCTGGGCTTCGTTTTCAGGCTCTGTCCCCAGTGGAGCTGTGTCTTACTGGAACAACTACGCTAAGAGGGATGAATATCCTTGCATGGTTTCAGACTGTTCTGCTGGCTACTACAGTCCCAGACGGGGTCCTTACTGCTATTATCCATATGGAAACAAAGAACACTCCACTTCTCGGTTCTGGATTTTGGTGAATGGTCATGACTTGGAATTCCTAAGCTGGAAGGGGGGTTCATGGGGCAATGTCCCATCCAATTCCATCAATACTTGCTCAGGTGTAAGACTATATGTTGGTAAAAATAAGTATGGATTAGGGAAGGTAGATAGTAAAAATAAAGCCTTCTTCATTGGTATGAATGGCAAGGAATACTGGTATAAACAGTATGATGTCCTGACCATTAATAAAAATTATCGCTCTCAGAGCATCTCCAATGTCAATTATGACCTAAGCAAGGGATCCTACAGTGAGGGAGGCATGGTATTAGCCTCCAGCAAACTCACCAACAAAGACTGTAGAGCAGTGAAGAAGTCAACCACCTTGTCAGGAACGGTGACTTCTGAACATTCCTGGGATGTTGGCATGTCTATCTCTCAGAGCATCAGCTTTAGTATGACAGCAGGGATACCTAACATCTTTGGAGGATCATGGGGCATTTCATCAGAGAAAACCTTTAACTGGAATAAGGGTTATACATACAGTGAGTCAGTCACATATTCTGAAACAATTGAGATTGAAATCCCACCCAACCACAGCTGTGAGTTGGTAATGAATGGCACAAAAATGAGGGGACGGGTTCCCTTCACTGCTACAGCCAATCGTTATTATTATGATGGAACACATCGGAGTGCCACTGTCCGAGGTGTCAGCTTCAATGTAGTTGGGATAAAAGGAGATTCACAAGTTGAACGCTGTGTCCCGATTCCGAATCCTCCCCCCTGCACTGGATAGATCCTAAAACGCCTTTGTAACTGTATTAATTTGCAGCAAGAATCCAAGTAAATTGAATTATTGTTGAGCCCTTAGAAGGATTCATTGTAAATTGAGGTTTGTAAATCCAAAAATAGTGATTTGCACTAAGCTGATCCTTTTGCTTCATTGGTATCAGCAAAAAACCAGCTAGTTTTGAGGTCCTTTGAACTGAGTTTGCCATGAAGCAGTTCTTAGAAATTGGTCTTAGACTTTAATTCTACACTATCAATTCAGTATAAATGCAAATCATGCTCATTTGTTCATAGCAAAGAAATCTCCATGCAAAATAGTGGTGCTATATTATTTGAGCACTGTAATCTTGGGAACAATGCTTGAGGTTTTGTGAAACTGACTTTTGCCATTAAATGACAATCACTATCAAATCATTATTGTCCATGGTTTCATTATAAAGAAGCTCAGTTGAAGTTAATGTTCTTAATTCTTTAAAATTTTAAATATGGATCAGACTCCAAATACATATGTCTATTTTTATCCTTTTCCCCAGGTTTTTTTTTTGCTTTGAAATTTGTCTTCCTCTGCTATTTTTCTATTCTTCGATTATAATATTCCTATTCTTAATGTATAATAAAGACTCTGATAAAGTATTTTACTGTAGTTTGAAAATTAATATTAAAGATCAACCATGCTTTTAAAAAGTAAATGGATGCACTTCTTCCATTATTTTTATCTGATACATTCCCTATCGATACAAATAGTCCTGGAGTTATGGTCATTTGATAAATGACTGTTCAAAGTTCCAGCAGGGCTGAGCAAAAGGACTTATGATTGGCCCCCAGAGTTATGGATATTGGAGTGCTCCTGTGGTTATGTGATCAAAATGTAGGTGCTTGGTAGCCTTACCCATACTTACAGCCACAGGGAGATTTTAATTCTCTCCCACTTGCCTATCATCCTTCCCGCCTATGCCCTTTTGGACCCTTGCACTCCATGGCATCTGCCACTCTAAATGACCTTCCCTATTGACCAAGCATGTTTGACCTAGCCCTTGGTGAGGCAACTGCTGGCCACATGAGGCTTTCTTCCAAGGTTGTGCATGGCGGTTTCCTTATAAGACCTGAGGTCTATGTAGCCAGCAGCTGCATTGCACAAGGCCAAGGTGAGCATGCCTCATCAGTAGCAGGAGCAAGGAGACAGTGAAGGTCAATTGGCATGGCATGTAAGGTGGCAGAGGCCCTGTAGGATTGGGTGGCAAGGGCTACTGCACTTGGGACCAACCCCTGGGGAAGTTGGGGCTTCCTGGGGCAGAAGGGTTTACCAGGATGGCTTTGACATCATACCATGCTATGCTGTTGAGCCAAGCTGGGGGGTACTGAGGTTTCCAGGGGCATCTGTGGTTCATGCTGCACTGCAGCTCCAGGGGTTGTTTTTTTTTTTTTTTTGCAATCTCAGGGCTGCAGTGTGCCAAAAAGCCTCTGAGCCACAGCTTGGCAAGCAACCTCAGAGTTGTGCAGTTCTGTGACTGCTTTCTGCTCTGCAAGGAAGCATTCAGTGTGGCAAAAGAGCAAAGATGCTGCGGGGGGTGGGGAAAGATAGGCATTGGGAGAGAATTAAATGGGAGGCAGTCCCTTAATGTGGAGGAACCATTGCTTGAAATAATAGGAAGGATCAAGGCTACCATAGCTTGATTTGGGGCAGGTCATCAACTAAAGACAGGTACAATTCAGTTAACAATGGTGAGCAGGAGTGCTGGGATGCTATTGCTAAGTGACATCATGTTTTGTGACTGCATTGCTTAGTGATGAAAATTCCAATCCCAATTTTCACTATAACTTTTTACTATGTGTACATGCACTTCTTGTTGTATGTCCATGAGTGAAATTGATCCTGGGCTGCAAAAGATGTGAAATTGACTCCTGTAATACAACAAATGACACCAAGAATTCATTCTTGTTCAGAGATGTTGTCTTTGGGAAAACTCTTGCATTAGAATGAATGCCATTAATGATGGCAGTTGCCAAAGTACTGTTTTCCAATTTTCTATCTGGATGGCTCTAGTAGGATTGCACTTTTCTAATTTAGTTTGAGGTTTCTGCAAACAGGACCAATGGAATTATACTGTAATGCAGGGACCGATGAGCCAGTGGAGGAATTGTTTCTCAACAATTTCTTCTTTAGCAAAAGACATAACAGTTGAGCATCTGGTTTTTAAGCAATTGTCACATACAAAATTTTATTAGTCTGATTAAACTATATTTACTCCTTATGTATCAGTTCAAAAAAGCAATGAGGAATATGGTTTAAAGTTGGGAACCTCTGTATTCAGAACTGATACACAAGACTAGGGCAAAAGTGGGTAAGCCTCTTATGGACAAATGTTATATTTTTGGAGGGGGGGTGTCAATAGTGGGGGATAATATAATTTCCATGCAAATAGAATTCTTTCCCTGTTTGCAGTGGGTGAAGGTAGTTGGTATATTTTCTTTTTGCTTTTAAACTATATTATGGCTAATGTGGATTTAAATATTTTTCATTTTCTTTCAAAATGTTGGGAAACTTTTTAAAATAATTTTCAACAGGTTCAGAAGAATTCTGAAGGATTACTTCACTCTGTAGATTACTTAAATAAGCAGAAGATATCTTTTAAAGATAATCTTATTGCCAGAAGCTCCATTACAGTATCTGGTAACAGGGAGAGGGTCTTTGTATGGACTGCTGTCTTCAGGGAAATACTTGCACCCTTCTCTTTCAGGATTTAGTAAGGTGGAAAATTATCTAACAGTCTTGTTAATTGATTTAAAAGATCTTGATTTTAATTTCATGTTATATAATGTATGCTTTATATTTATCTGTTTTTAGATAACTATTTTGTGGGAGGCAAATTATCTATTAGATAGATCGATAACCTGATATACTTCAAAAAACCTTACTCTTGATTAAACTAAGGTTTAATCAATAACTCACATAGTAGAAGTGTGTGTTTGTACATGCATGTATGTAGATTATTCAATCTACTTTGGAACAAAGTCACTGTTAGTGCTCTGGCCACCGGAGAACCATTTTCATTTCACCGTTCCCTAAACATACAGTTATCAAGCATGTCAGATGTCTGCAATACAAAAACAAGGTAGTCAGTTTTATATTGTTTACTTCATACAATGCAAAAGTAAAGAAAAGGAAGACCTATATTAAGGCAAAGATGAGTCCTTGACCAATAGTTGCTTCAGAAGCATTGTGTTAGTTGTCTAATCTGTTGTTTAGGTTTAAATCTTATTTATCTTTCTCTAAAAGTCTATGATGGAAAAATCAAGTGGTCTGGGAAGATATTTGACACCGCTATCTAATGTGCTGTTGGCCGCCATTAAGTAGAGGGAGGATAGCTCTGAGGATTCCAACTATTCCATGGAGCATTAAGCCCCAGAGCCAGCTGTGAGTCCCAGAAACAATAGCAGCCCTCAGGAGTGGAAGGAAGAAAGTAGAATTCAAGAAGATCATTTATCACTTTGGCCTGTTGAATGGAGATGTGGTTGACTTGGTACCTGAAGTTGAGGTGACCTTTTGTTATTTTGTTCTCTGAACAGCTCCCTTTTTCAATGGATGATCTATTGATTAGCTTTTGGAAATATAGTATCTTGACCCATTAATGGGTCTTAATATGAACTTGAAATCAGAATCTGTCTACAGCAATTTGGGGATATTTGATGTTGCTGGATTAAATATTCCATCATCACCTATATCCCCATCTTTAGAAGCCTCAGTTTGGGAATAGAGTAAATGACATATTATTACTACTTGGAATTCTGGAATCACAATCCATGTCATTATTTCATGTGATCATCAGTGCATGGTGATCTAAAAGGTCCAGGAGATAATGGCAAATAGCCACAGCTGCTTTGCAGGGGACGAAGCAAGAGAAAAATGTTCTGCTTCCATGCCTCCAGAAGGGAGGAAATGTTTTACTTTGTTTAGGATAGTGTGGGGCAGAAGTTATATAGTGAAGGAAGCATTTTTATGTTTCACTTCAGCTTATTGAGTGGACAAGAAGCGATGGTTGCCGGCCTGCTTTGCCTTCTATTTGCCTACAATCTTCTGCCAGTCCTCTTGGCTGGCAAAGGTAACACTGACACTATGGTTTTAGAAGATGAAAGAGCCTGGGCAATCTGCTGTTAGATCCCATATATGCTGTTGAAAACTCTCCTCCTCAGTTTTCTTATGGGTACTCCTTTTTTCTCCTCCTCCTCATTTTCTCTCTCACTCCTGGTTATCTCTTACTGTTTTCTTCTCTCCAGCTTTACCAGCTAATAGTAGTGGCATGTCACTGAACTTACAGATCTTCCAGGCAGGGCCTCTCTAGTCTTGTCCATTTCATTAAGGACAGGAGATATTTTTCAAATTACCTTTTCAGAGAACTGCAGCTAAGAATTGTATGATTAAGACATATACATTTCTGAGATGATTTTAGTATGCTCTTAATTGCTGTGTTGTAAGAAGAGGCAATGTTGACATCAAATTAAGAATGGAAGAATGTATTTTCCAAATTTTAATCCACCAGTATAAGATGAGATTGTTAATACTAATTGTTCTGCATTTTCTTTTTTCCATAAGATTTTTTTCCTATATTTTCATCTTACTTTACTTTCCTTTAGATCAAGATTCAGCTTCTGCCTATATTATGAAAGGCTTTTAACTTTTATATGTAGCAAAACACATTAAGGACATTATTTTTTGGAAATTTGCTTGGTAAATTGGATTTAAAAGATGTTTGAAGTATTTGTTCTGAGCTTTTTTATGTCTATGAGATGTTGCCTTCTATCATGCTGACTAAAAGATGGGGAAGATTTAAGAAGTAATCTATTTCCATGCAGTTTAGCATATTTAACGCAGCTGGGATTTCTAATGCACATTTCTAACATAATTTTATCTCCATCAAATATCTTTTGCTTGTTTAATGAATCTGTTTAGTGGGTCAATGCCGTTAACTTCTACAGTTATTAACCACATATTAACTCCATGCAAACAGA